GTGTTGCATTTCTCCGATTCAAGAAAATAATTTTTTTTAAAGAGAAGCAAAATGACGGTGAACATCGGTCACGTTTTGGAGTGCTGTTTTAAAGAGACATTATGCAAGTTTTTACTGAAAATTTTGTAATGCCTCTTTAAGAAAGCAAAGGGGCACAGAAACGACGCAGATGTTGCCAACTTCCTTTGCAGGGCCGTCACTAGGTTTGAGAGACATGGGTGGCTTAGCCCCTAGGTAAGATATTGCGCGCGCACAGCGCGCGCCGAAATTTTTTCAGTGCACTTTCTAAGGCGCTGTCTATAAATTCATTATTTTAAGAGCAACATACCTGGGAAACACTTCCCTCACTAATGCTACTTCACCAACTAAACTACACCAGTTAAAATGTGCTAAATTACAAAGAGTAAATGGTAGGTGCCATGCATTACTGCATAAATGGAAGAAGGCAAGTGGTTCGCCACTCATCATAATGGAAACCTTCTACAGAAGACAGTTGTCTAACCAACAGACTCCCAACATCTTCATAAACCCTTAACCTGGCCATTCATCTTTCCCCATCTCCCCTGCACCCACAACCTGTCAGGAACCCCTGTCTGCTTTGCAATAACCCTGTTTCTGTGTGTGTGCTTGGTGTGTGTGTGTGACCTGGACTTTGGCATGTCTTTCTCTACACCTGGCACAGAGAGAAACACATATATGTGAGGAACTTAACAATAAATGCAGCATTATCTTTGATAGATTTCTGCTTAATCTAAAGTTTAACCACAAAATACAAGTTGCATAAATGGACAGTAGGCAATAGGCAATAGCATCATTGCAAAGAAGGATATCCTTGAGACTTTTTCACATCAGTCTGACAAAGTTTTAATGCAAATAAAGGAAGTATTTTTAAGTACAATGTATTAATGAAAACACAAAATCAACAGTATATGAAACGTACAACTTAGAACTATAGTCAACCCAAGGAAGCACTACCATATCACACAGTGTCGCCCTATCAGACTGGTGGCACATAGATATGGGAGAATTATCCTGCCATAATGCAAGAGCACATAACTTCAATTAGAGAAAAGAATTTCATCTTCTTGCACTCAAAACTTATAATGCTCACACTCAAAACATGCGCTCTCTCTCAAATATTTTCTCTTCTCTCAAAAATCTTTGTTTCTTCTCTCAGATTTAAACAGATATTTTCTATATTATCACAGATATTTTTTCCTCTCGCTTGCCTCCATCTCCGCTCTGCACGGGTCTCAGTTACGCTCTGCTTGCGGATTTGTTTTGCTCTCTCAGACTGCAGTTGGATCGTTGCCTAGCAACCTTTCCAGCCAATAGAACGACAGCCTCGGAAAAGGTGCGCTTGTTTAACCCTACGGAGTGTGCCTGTGCTACTACGCCACTTATAAAGCGTCAGCTGAAACTGCTATTTACAGTAGTTTTGTGGCTGATTGTTGTTTAGAAATAGAAAACCTGGTTTCATTTCTTAGTTTTGCCCTGGATTTTGTAGCGTTTGTGGACGCTACGTCGCTACTTGATCAAAACAATAACGTCGCTACAGGAAAGTTACTTGATAAATAAAGCAGCGACGCTACGGTCAAGCTACTTGAAAATGTAGTTAAACTAATAGCTTCGCTACATGTAGCGGCGCTACTGCCCATCACTGCTCCTGTGACAAAACTATTATAATGATGCTAGTAGGCTACAACAACATCGTGTTTTCCCACACCACTGACTTTGTTCACCATGGTAACGTAATTCCTACTGAATCAGACAAGCTATTAGGCCTATATTGTCTCTTTCCTCACTCCAGGTAAAGTGAAGAAAATGTAAACCGCTGACATCAAATGGCAAACTCACCGTATGTATCTGCACGCAACCATAACTTTCCTAATCAAGCTCGATGACTGTGTGGAGATTCAAAGGGCGCGCTGTTGCTGCACTGCACAGCTGCTATGGTCCAGTTGATGGCCGTGTACCACGTGACGTGACGCTGGACGCGGAGCCAATGAAGGAAATGAATATCCTAACGATATTAATAATTGTATAAATAATTGTGTTTGTAAATAAACTAACAGGAACTTATCTTCAGATTAACTTGCCTTCTTGGTGGCTCGTTTTCAGTGCTTTACTGCAATTGTTTGGGGTTATATGGAAAAAAAATCAATAAATAAAAAAATAACAATAAAAATCGCAAAATAATTATGGGGTGGCTAATACCAACGAAGGGATGACTTCAGCCACCCTAAAATAGGTCTAGCCACGTCCCTGTTCCTTTGGACATGTAAGTTAAATGCTTTTTACTCTTAACTGGACCTGGCAACCAGCTGGGAAACAGTACACTAGAAAAACGATCTAGAAATAGTAAGTAAGTAAACATTTATTAAACTAAGTGTATTTACCCTTAATTTGAGTAGAGAAATGAGATAGTTTGTCAATGGAATGAGTGTTTTTACTCTTAAAATAAGATAATTAGATCATATGCACTCGAAATAAGACGATGCAATTGTGTTTTCTTATTTTAAGTGTAAATTGTCTTGTTCCATTGGCAAACTACTTCATTTACCTCCTCAATCCAAGAGCAAAGGCACTTATTTTAAGAAAATATTACTTGTCTAGATTTGGATTTTTTTTTTACAGTGTACAAATAAAGGTTGGAACAAAACCAGGGGAGTGCACCACATATTTGTCGGGAGGAGTTCAACTTGTAGCTGTCCTCCTCCTTTAGCAGATTTTGGAAAACATTTGAGTCACTAAAAATGCTTTTGGCCACAAATATCCACATATTGTGGACACAAACTGTGCTAAGTGATCCGCATTGGCTACTGGACACTAGTTCTAGTAAAAGAACACCCATTTATGTGATATTAGAGTTATGAATCACATCTGCATATGATTTAAAAAAAAAACATAGTTAGGAGCTACAGTTATCTACCTAAACAGAAAATAGGAGACAACTTGTCCAAGCTTCCCATCAGGCCTGCCCAATCAGCCTCTGCTACATAAGAAGAGCTTAGTGTGTAAACAGCAGTGCCTTATGAGGTTATGTGTCTCTTCTTCACAACAGCAGGCAAAGAAGTGAGGGAGCACACTGGGCCAATTCAATTTTAACCATTTAAAGCCCGATCCAAGAATAAAACAAAAACATAAAATTACTTTTTTTGGTTTGAAGTCCTTATTTGGCCTTTTAACAAAATATGTAAAAAGAAAAAAAATACATTTTTGATATTAATAATTTATTACTATGCGATAAGTCACGATTATTTTTTGTGTAGTCTTCTGCCCTCTGTTATCAGGTATACCTGATTGTGTACAATAGGATTTTGAGCAAAGTTTTTACCATTAAATTATGCAAAAGGTGTCAGACGCAAAACATTTCAGAAACCGTTTGTATCAAATATGACACATTTGGCATTACAGGGTTAAGGTAGAGGCACTGAGTCATTGCAATAGACAAAGATGTAGATAAACTCTTTACTTCCCTAATTCATAGGTAAATTCCCTGCTAGGAATATCAGGATTTTTATCCATATGTGACTGTTTTCCAGGTTCAACTTTGAAAACCAGTGGATTATTCCAACCGGTCAGGCGCGCTGGAAGCTGTTTCAAGCGAGGGGGGCTGATGGCTGGGTTGGAAAACACATGACGTCATTATGTTGAGGGCTGTTGCTGACATTTTTAACAGAATATTGTAGGCCTACATTTTTCGCAAAAAACTGCCATTTAAAATGCATCGGAACAAAGCATGAACATTTTAAACTTTATTTCTTCTCTTTTAATCATTCAAAACAAACAAAAGCTCCCAATCAACAGGATCAGGAATACTTGAATAAAACATGGCCTAAATATCGCCTAAACTGAGCATTGAACGTCTTGAAAGTCCATTCGACTATGGATATGGGAAATGATTTCATTTCTGAAACAAAAAACACACACAAAAAAAATTTACTAATTTCAAATTTTATCACTAAATAGCTTAATACAGACATAATATTTAGTGATATGCAGCCTTATTCTAGCGTAGACTTCTTCAGCCACAGGACTACGACGAATAGGCACAGCATATATAAATAAATAAGCAATAAATAACGCTAAATAAATGCTCGGCGGCAGTATAGGGAAATTAAAACCATTTCTTACCTCGAAATAGTCAGAAATACGTTTCTGCTGCCTATTGCTAGCCGTGCCTAAACGAATGTGAGGTGGCGGAAGCTTCCGGGGGAGTAGCCTAGTTTTTTATGAAATATTAAAATAATGAATCATTAGTTTATATCTTATACACAGCCCATCATTTTAATCCCATATCAAACACAGTCTTTTAAAAAATAAATACATAAATAATTTCATGTTTTTAAGTACAATATTATGTTACTCCACAGCCCCCCACCATGGGGGGCTGATGCTATGACGAGGGAGGCTGCAGCCCCCGCAGCACCCCCCTTCCCGTGCCACTGCAACCGGTATGCCACGTAATCAAGGTAATAATTAAATAATAACTGAGCTTTATTGATCTCACATTGGAGAAATTAACTTCTGAGTTTAACCCATCCCCTTGGGGAGCAGTGGGCTGTCATTGTGCAGCACCCAAGGAGCAGTTTGGGTTTAAGGGTCGTTGCTCAGAGACCCAGAGTGGCAGTCTGTGGGAGTGGGCCTCAAACTTAGAACCTCAGGATTCCAAGCTCTATGCACTAACCACTAGGCTGAACTTCCCTTATTCAGTTTTAGTAGACAAAGATAGGTAAACACTGTTAGTAAAAATGGCTACAAACAGTATTTAGTGCTGCATTTTCTACTTTTAAATCTCTGCCTAAACTTTTCAGGGCTCCGTGATACAAGGGGTCCTTATTTATCAGCTGCTAGAATGAAAGAAAGGCAGAGAGAAAAGGAAAAGGTCTAGTAGAGCTATAGTAGTTAGTACCTGATCTACCCTCCAACACATTTTGAAGGAGTTCATGTGTCCCAAAATTTGTCAATAATTTATGGAAATTAAAAATACCTAAAGATTTTTTTTTAAAGGTAAAATCTTTTTTTATTTTATTTGAGGTCAGCAATATTGAATGTATAGGTTAAGGTTAAAGTTTGACTTCCCACTCTTTGGACCAGTCTGTGTTTGGGGTAAACCAAGAAGATTAAAAATCCGGGTCACTGAAAAAGAAGGAGAGGCACAAAAGATGTCTGTTAGTTTGATTTAAGACCTCCTACAAAATAAAAATAGATTAAATTTAACACGTTATATTTGTTTTGGTGAAAACTGAATTAAATACTTTCCTTTATTTAATATTAAATAAAAATATATAAAAATATATAATATATAAAAACATACTCCAGTACTGTACAATAGGATTAAAATCAAATCTTAGTACCTACGTATGTAAATTTTGCTTTTTAAATTTTCTTTATACCCATCATATGTGTGTAAAAATGAGCTGAGGTATATATGATAACATGGAGTCTTGGCCTAAACTGTAAAAAATTAAAAACAAAAGAAAAATAGAGACTGTCTTACCTTTCACTTGGATGCATCTTAATAAAGTCAACCTGCTCCCTTGTGTTTCTCCCAAACACCAACATCTGCCTCTCTGTATCGATTACACACTGCAACAAGAACAGCAGCTATAACAAAGTAAGTCATGGCAAAGCCTACAGTGAACTATTTCATATATCAGCCTCTGCTTTCTGTGTATGTTTCTAAGACTCCCCGTTCACTGGGACCCAGCATAATGTGTTAAAAAGGAGGTCTTCAACAGGGGGTCCGCGACCCCTTGAGGGTCCAAGGACCTACTGCATGGGGGTCACAAAAGTTTTTGGTTGATTAGACTATTTTTTTTTTTCACTAATTGAAATGTCTTTAAATACACATTAACATGAATTCAACACACTGTAGTAAACAGATAAATGGAGGCAGAAGATGTCTTTCAGTCATCAATGCACACATTCAGCGACACACAGAAGCTCTTTCACGATGGGCACCGTTTCGTTCATAACACCTGTCCCATCAACCAGGAATCAGAATCAGAAATACTTTAATAATCCAAGGGTTTCATTACTCCATCTGTACTAGAGTAACTATAGGACCAGTTTGATATAACACAATTTCATAAAATAGATATAATTAGAGGGTGCCCGCTCCATTTTACCATCAGTTTGGGTCCTTGACCTGGAAAACATTGAATACCTCTGTGTTAAAAGGTTCTTAGTCATGTTATCGGACATTTTAAAAAGTAATCCAGTAACTCACTGGTTTCATAGAATGTTTTTATGACAATTCACAGAATCCCTATAGTTTTTGCTCAATTTGTTGGTAAAGGGCGCCGAGGGTCTTTTTTTGGCTCAAAAAGGAGGATCAAAAGACTATAAGGAGGAAGCCTTATTTTATTATAATCAACTGGATTATGTTCTTTTTGCTCAAGGCATATACAAACTTGGAGAAACTCCAAATGCTCATTTTAGCAGCTGTTTTAGCATATTTGTCGTTGTGGCAGGAAAAGTATTACAGTCAAGAATAACTGTTTCATCTGAAAATCAATGTCTGGCACATTTAATGCAGTATAAATGTAAACCAAGTGTATTTGTGATTTATACGTGAATATTCATAGGGAATGGATTTCTCACTTTTTTATCCACAATTTTCAGCTTCTTTGGTGTAAATCTGGCCAGTTGACACACTGAGGCCTGCTTTCTATTTCCAGTTAGCAAAATGGTTAAGAAAAGAGATCAAACTATTTATTACACCAAAATTTTTTTGTCTAAACCTGCCTATCTAAAACAAGGAAAACTTCAGAAAACAACTAGATGTTTTTTTATGTTTCTTTTGTTAACTTGCAAAGTTAGTAGGATAATACAAAAAATCTCTAATGCTCCAAATGCTCTTTTAGACAACTGCAGCAAAGAATGGTATGCTATAGTTACCCAGTCTCTATACGGGAAACAAGAGAGTTTAGAAGGCACATTGTGAAAAAAAAAAGGGTTTTCTGATCAACCTTGGTAACAAAAGTTCTGATCTGATTCCAGGGATTCAAATACTTTTGCTCTTTTACTACATGCAATAAGGGGATGTGTTGCGGCTTGCTGTGTTAAGACGTGCAAACCTTGTTCACCTTATTAAAATGAGCAGATTGTATGTTTCACTATCAGTTTTATTATATTAACCATTAAAGTCTATCTTTTTCGAATGGGTTTGACTGTATAAAGATTTCCTGCTGTGCCCTTGTATTGATTTGTGCCTGTATAAATTTTAATTTATCAATATATATTCTACTATTGTTATTTCTGACCGTCCAACTATATTTATATGACATTCTGTACATATTCATACAGAATATCTCTTCTTCTTTTTGCATTGTACCAATGTCTGTTTTGTTGCAACAATAACCGCAGATGTTTTTGCACCCATTTTTAGAAGTATTAAAAAAAGATACAAAAACTGCATCTGCAGTTAATTTGATTTGTAAAATCATTTAGTAAATTCTTACATTTGCATATCCGCCATCCATTAATTTGCACGGTTGTTTTTTAGAGTATGATCTGTATACACAAAGGTATGCAGGCTAAAAAATTTAAAAAAGAAACAGTTTGAGCAGGCTATCTAGATTTGACAAAGCAAATCCCTTTGCACCATCTTTAAAGATCTGCGCTCTCCATAAAAACAATACGCTTGCACCTGTTTGAAGACAATCTTTCTGAAGATCAGGCTACAAGACTCTTATGGATGCATATTTTCAAGTACATTGCAAGACCCATGTTGCTGGGGGCCACAGATCTTCACTGGATCTTTCCCATATCAGGATAATGATCCCAAACAAACAAACGGCTTTCATCGGAAACCTAATCAACCTTGTTAAACCTTTATCTCATTTCCCAGAACTAAATCATATAGAAAGTACACATTATATTGTGACCAAAGGCAACAGATGGGGTGAGCCATTCATAAGCTCCTTAAAACCCCACCAAGACTGAAAGTAAATCAAGAGTAAATGGTAATAACTCACCTTGAGGTATTTTAAAGTCCTGCTGCCCAGGGTCATGAGTGGTTTGGTGCTTTCTGTAAACACATGTAACAAGTGGAAAACCTTATTACAGGGTTATATACAACAATATTTGGTTTTCTTTCTCTTCCTTGTTATTTTCCTCACCTACTATAAAGAATGAAGACATAATTTGGAGGCCTCCAATGGTCAGGCTGAGCTCCTTGATGAATCCATCGATGCAAAGTTTGCGCTGAAATGGAAACCAGTCTGGGTCCGTTTTATTCTCCTCAACCAGCAGTTTCAGTCTTTAAGAGATAGAGAATTAAGACAAGACTTTCCACTGGTTTTTATGACAATGAGTGGGTGAGTTCCACTTACCCTAATCTGTCCACAGTCACTGAAGACATCAAGTTCATCCTGCAGCCCGTGTCAATCAGCAATGTGACTTCCTGTCCAAAACACTGTAACAAGGACAAAATGGCTGTGAGACAAGAGGCAATGATCACTGCAGTAAGACGAGTGGAAAAAGGTTTAGTGACAGAAAAAAAAGAAATAAAAAATGTATGGAATAAAAGGCCCGTTTCAGCTATTTAAAAATATATATGGATTGCAATGTTATATTTGGTTACACATTGAAATAAACATTTAAGATGAAAATAATCCCACTTTAAACTCATGCAGAAAGACCACCAGCATGGATTCAAACCCACAACCCCTTCTGTTTATTAAAAAAAGATCACCACATCTGTGAACCTTGATCTAACACATGGGCATACTTTATTTCAAGGATGATGCCTTTACTCACATGGTTAATTCGTTCAACAGTAGTATCGGATCTATATCGGATATCGGCCAATAGGCTCTGCCCATGTATCGTATCGGATTGGATTGCAAAAAAATGGATTAGTGCTTCTTAGTCTTCGATTTAAGCCCAGGGGATCCCAAACTTTTCATCCAATGTCCACATAAATAAAACAGATTGGCGACCTCCTAAATTTGCATAGAATTATCTCTACCTATTTATATAAAAATATACAGTGAAATAATTAAACTGGTTTATACATTTATTTTCTAAAGTGATATGAAATTGCTCAAATTAAATCTATTTGTAATTATTTAACAACACGTTTGATAATAAATAGTTCATTTTATAATTGAGTGGTATATTTACTGCAACATTGTCAATCAATAGTGATAAAAAATTTACCATCAAAAAAGTAGTGTCTGCATATTTCATGCAACATTCAAATATGTGTATTTAAAGATAAATTTTGGCCCTCCGTACTGCTTAGAGATATTAGAATGATTATGAAATTAATGTCATGACCCTCGATTGGCGTTTAACATCCCTGCTGGGGTGTCTCGACCCCTGATATAAGCCAATACTTTGGTGTTTTTAATGTACGTTTCCAATCATTGTCCTGCTGGAAATTAAACCTCCTTTCTTTTCTCAAGTCTTTCATAGCCTCTGTACTAAGCTCCATCCATCTTTCAAATCGTTCTTTCTGCTAAAGAAAAAAATCCCAGTACTAGATCAACAGTAAGGCTCGGCACGGTTCATCTGTGGCTTGGTTCCCTGATAACAAAGAGGGCTTGTGCCTCTAGGTGGACATCCCTGTCCTGCAGGCTCCTATGTCTGCCGTTTCTATTTTCAGAATATAGATTAAAGAATAATTTCTGGGATTGGCAAAACAATTTTATATTCTAACCCTGCCTTTGACTTCCACACTACTTATTCTCTGAATTGCTAACTGTCATCTTCTGCGTTTGTGATGCTGAATTTCACTGATGATCCTTGTCAGACCTTTTTAGCCCTCAGAGAACAACCAGATTTATACTGTGATCCAATAGCACACACAATCTGACTTCATTCCTTTTTGTTATTCTGACACTCTGAATCCTCATGATATACTTCAGAGTTTGTGGCTCTAAGGTGAAAAAAGCTACAGGGGAGTGAAAACATGCATTCTTTTACGGATACAGAATTCCACCCACTTTACAAGCTACACAGATTAAATCTTCGCCCTCTTCATCCTCGTTAGAGAACTGCCGACAGCTCAGCTGATGAACCCCTCTGCTGTTTGGGGTCACGCCGTGTGTGTCCATCCTGCCCTGGGATAGCTTGGCCTCCAGAAGCCTCCTCTGGAGAATATTGTGTGGCTGCTGCAGCATAGAGAATAGGGCACAGTCACAGAACGCAAGAGAACACGCTTATACGGTAATTAAATAAACCTTAATATTAGAAACCTATGTTCCGATGTGGCCCTTTGGCTTATAGCTTGTTTTTTTAAATATGCTTAAGCATGTCAAATGATAAAATGTAGACCTTTATAATTTAAATATAAAGACTATTCTACTCCTAATTGCACAAACCCCCAAATGAATAAGAGGAAGAGATCTAATTAGGTCAGATATAGTTCGAGGTCTAAGAAAAGAGACGCACTCCCTGCTTGGATGTCCCGAGTTTCTTCAGTCCATCCAGAGGCAGCAGATCAGCAGAGTCCCTGTGTAGGAACTGGATGGCTTGTTTCAGCCTCCTCTGCTGCCTCAGTGCCGCAGCATCTAGGACATCAGAGCTGCTCCGGTTTTCCGCCCGCATCCCTGTAAACATGATGGAGCCTGGTTTTGAGGAAACAGGCAGCTGTGTTTGTGTGTGTGAGCTCTTCCTCCTGTTCTCCTTCTGCCTGCTGCCGAGACAAGGAAACCCCAAAGCATGACGTCTTGTAGAGGAGGAGGGATAATACTCTCCATCGTGACAGGCAGTGAAGTCAGACAGTATAAGATGGGATTTATGCTCTGAAACTTCAAAATAAACCCTTTCAACAACAAACTATTTGCAACTCAGAATGCTATCATTAAATAATTCATACTATATAATTGTTATACAAACATATGATGAGTTGAACACATTTGTTAACATGGAAGGTCCTCTTAAACCAAAATCATTTCATCCATCCATCCATCATCCATCCATCCATCATCCCTCCATCAATCATCCATCCATCATCCATCCAGCATCCATCCATCCACCCATCAATCAATCATCCATCCATCATCCATTCCTCATCCATCCATCCATTGTCCACTCTTCCATCCATCATCAATCCATTTATCCATCCATCCCTCATCCATCCAATATAAGTCTATCCATCCATCCATCCATCCATCCATCCATCCATCCATCCAATATAAATCTATCCATCCATCTATCATCCATCCATCCATCCCTCATCCATCCATCCATTGTCCACCCTTCCATCCATCATCAATCCATTTATCCATCCATCCATTATAAGTCTATCCATCCATCTATCATCCATCATCTATCCATCCATCCCTCATCCATTGTCCACCCTTCCATCCATCATCAATCCATTTATCCATCCATCTCTCATCCATCCATTATAAGTCTATTCATCCATCCATCATTCAATCATCCATCCACCATTCATCCACCCATCATCAATCTGTTCATCCATCCATGCATCATCAATCCATCCATTTATCATTAATCTATCCATCCATCCATTCATTGTCCACCCTTCCATTCATTATCAATCCATTTATCCATCTATCCCTCATCCATCCATTATAAGTCTATTCATCCATGGTTTTAGTTATTGTTTAATTGTAAACCATTTTTTCAGAAAATTATTTTATCAAAATACAATAGGAATACATATTACATTCACAATTCCGTCCACAAGAGCTCTGCAACTGTATTTGTAGTTTAGCTGCTGCAGCTAAATTTTTGACATTATATGCAAACAATATTTCGCACCATACTTTTTTTTTATCATTTAAACATATTTAATGAGTGAGCTTTCAGACTCCGTTTATTGCTATGCATCAACTCAATGTGAAATATAATCCCACTGAGCCTCTTTTCACTGCATTGCCCACATTCCCCCTCTCTTTCCCACACGACCTTGTTTTCAACATGGATGCCGATAAACCTGCACACACGCCCATGTTTATGCTTCAAAACAAGAGCATTGTAACCTTCGGTTTTGGCCCAAAGTCACAATGGATTCACATAGGCTGTTATCCGCACTCTTTCTAGATAGTTTAAATATTTGTTTTTCACGACGACGCAGCATAGTTACTCAAGAAAGCTGAAAACAATACGAAAACCGGCGCGGAATGGCGTCTGCAAGGGGCCCGGGAGCCTGAATTCTTAGCCCCTAAACGGAGCGACACCTCCTCGGACCAATAAGAATCGATTTAACAAAACAACTGACCAATCACATATCGTGGTAGAAAAAATAGGCGGGACAGCACCGGAAAGTTTGCTTTTCCCATACATGTTCCTGGTCAGTGAACGTCGCTAGTCGTTTCCTGCACTGTTGCATGGTGGTCGAACAGGAGGAATTGTTGGAAATTTTCAGAGGTTAGTATATAAATTGGTTTTTACCCAGTGTGCATTATTCCCACAGCCATCTCTGGTGCTAGTGGGAGTGACAGGTTACGGGAACGGAATTAGAATAGAGACGGAGGAAATGTTTAGAAACGGAAAAAAGACTTGTAGCGAATGAAACGTGCTTATATCATGAATTAGCTCCTGAATTCCTGGGTCTTGTTTTTAGTTAGTCAAACTTGTCTGGAAGCTTGTTGTGGAGCGCTAGCTTCACTCTAGCTGTTTAACATTTTAGTTTTAGACGATAGGAAGCAGCTTGGTTAAAGACAAAAATAAAAGCGACCCGGGCGACCGCAGCCCTGCAGGAAACATTTGCTCTCAAATCGTGAAAAACATCGTGACGGCACCGCTTGGCGTATTTAGCTGCTGCGTTAGCTCAACGGCTAACTGGCCGTTAGCTTATTCCGTTTGACATACTGTATCTGTCCTGCGGCCAACAGTCTCTAAATGACTATTTAGTATAGGGTGGTCATGTGGTGTTCGAGTAGTATCTGCCGAATCATACACATTTTGGATAGTTTTTTTTTCGTTTAGGCGTTCTTTTAAAAGGGAATTGTGCAAAATCATAGTTGTAGCCGAGGTTAGCTAACAGCTGACTTCAGTATAAGAACTAAACAAGCGCCTAACCAGGACAGTATGACTGATTATGCTGCACCGTTTTCCCTTCTTCTGTTGTCCCAGATTTGTTTATTTTTTTCTGCATACGTTTAGTCTATTTTATTATGTATTTATGTATCATCCCCGCAATGCAGCAAGACACCTTCATCCCAGAAAATGATTATGAAGGGTAACAGAGAACCTAAGAGATGTTTCCATTCAGTTTGGATAATATTAACTGATTTTAAATGTCTTGAATAAAGAAAAATATATGTTGATCATATTTTAAAATATTAACCTTATCTCCTAAGTGCTGGAAAACGTTTAACAAATACTCACATTGGATTTAGACTAGCTGATCTAGAGTATCATTATTTTAATGAAATCAGAGGCGTTGCCAGAAATGTCTTTTAAAGGGTGGCCAGGCAATAACCAATGTAGACTTGGTCAATCTCCACTGTTCCAACATTAAAATTAACTAGCAAAACACCCATATTTTCTAAATAAAGACTACCTATACTTTCCTACAGCCTTTGCTAACAAATAAACGCATATATTTAAACATCTGTAATTTCAAGATAAAGGATATAGTGGATAAAACTCAGTTTTGAGTTCTGTGGCATAAATCTTTTCCATCGTCATTACTTACCTACTTGTATCAAACGTTATGCATAGAATTTATATTTGCAAGCACTAATATCTACATAAATTGATTATTTGAAAGGTTTTTATTAAAATTGTTATCTTTGATTTCACTGAAGACTCCTAGATGACTTGCAGGGACATATCCTTTTCTCTTTACCTCATATAACACAAAATCTAGTTCTGAAAATAGCATGAATTCTGTACTCTTCTGTATTGATGTGCATAATTAACCACAAAAAAAAAAATGTTTTTGAATATTCCACTTGAGAGTATAACTGCTGCCACCATCTGTATTAGAGGGGGAAAAATTGTAGGGGTGGCCAGTGATTGGCTAAGGGGCCCCCATTTCCAGCTCTGCCCTTGAATGAAATGAGATTCCTGCGTGTATATGTAATGGCAAGGATACGGAAGAGGATTAGGGCCATTGAAAAAACAATAAAAAGTTAACTCATTTTTAAATTTCATTTCATTATAATATGAGAAAAAAAGTCAGAATTCTGAGTTTAATCTCAGAATTTTGGATCTTAGTGTAGATGGGCACCATGAAGGAAGATACGTGGGAGCACTCAGCTTCACTGACAAAGATGTGAGTTGTTTTGGGAGGGTCAGTAACACATTGGTGAAAACTGACGAAATTAGGCAACTTTTTAAGTGCCTGAGGGTTCTCCGGTGATGCTATTTCATGAATGGAAGAGCAGAAGGTGATTAAAACAAGAGAGCTAGTCTCTAAAACAGACATGGCTACGGCTTAATGCTAACATGTGTGTTAGCTGTCAAAATTCTGAGGAAACAAAGGTCAGAATTCTGACTTTTTTCCCATATTAACTGAAATAATATATAAAAATCTGTTAACTTTTTATTTTTTTCAGTGGCCCTAATCCTCTTCCGTACAAGGAAGAATTTTAACGTACTCAAACAAATATGTAATAATGCAGCAGTATGATGTTTAATACCTTGGACAAATAATCCTACTCCTTGAACTTTATCACATGTTGACACATAACATTAACTCTGTTTTTAACCTTTAATGGGGCATTCTATGAAATACTGTGAAAATCAATAATTTTAAGCCACGAGTGTTGTTGAATGACAGGACATGACCTTAGATTTGTAACATTTAGAAATAAATTTTTTGTAACATTTAAAAGTGAATTATCGATGGCATAGATCAATGTCATAATGTCATGTAATAAAAGGTCACTTGCCCTTATAAGTTAAAAAAAGATTAAGTACGTAACAAAACACAAAGTGAAATAACCCTTTTTCTCTTTTTTGGTGTAATTTACAGTAGGTAAAAAGCTAAAATATGTAAGAGCTCAATTTTTCTTTCTATGCCAAAATTATGTGTACTCCTCTACATAGCAGTAGCTTTGCTGAATGGCTTCTAGATCTCACTGGGGGGAATAATGTCCCACGTTTCAAATCCCCAAAAGCATCGTTCTAACCATTGTATGACGTGACAACATTCCTATTTAAAATCAGCTGTGCACTCAAACCAGGGGTCTGCAATCTTTTCTATACAAAAAAATGCCTCCAGTCTGGATAGATAAAACTCTTGCAATCACAAATGTTAGGTATCCCTTTGATGGAAAACAATATCTACTTCACAGACATATTTGTTCATACATTAGCGTTTTTTTTTTTTGTGGCACTTTTAGCCTGGGTTGTTAGTTTGCATCGCCCCCACCTGAACGAACAGACTAGACAAGAATTGCATCAAGCAGCCAAAAGACCCTTTGGTTACTATGGAGGATTGTTTTATGAGACAAATTATGAAATACTTGGAAAAATAGTCTTTTGAAAGAAAACCATCAAAAGTTTGATTTGCATTATTCCTACAAACAATAGAGGAAATTGATCCAATATGAAGGAAATCCCCTGGTCAAAGGACATGGGAAATTTCCAGAAAAAGCTTAACATTAAAAATAGGGAGTGTGTGTGTCCCTTTTTACTAGTGATGGTGAGATGAAGCCTCATAAGGCATTGAACCGTTTGGCCAAATTGCTTCAACAATCCCCACAGTTCATGAGGCTTCATGTGAACATGTCACCACCTACTGGTGGACAGCAGAACTACAGTTTGTAATAAAATCTGATTTATTTATTTATTTTATTTTTTTTTGCAACTGTTCTTTTTTTCCCCTTTTAGGTTCTTTTGAAATTGTTAAAGGAATAGTACACCCAAAACATGATTAGCCTTCATTTTCTACTCACCCCC